CAATATTTTACATTTTGTCATCTAACATACATGTGTGTTGTATCCTGGTATATATAAACAAAGGAAAAAGTTGAGAATGACACAATGCAAATTTAAGAGTGGTTAACAGAGTGTGAGTATGCTTTTATTAATTTAAATACTTTTTTTAGTAGTAGGATTATAGGTGATTTTTACTTGTTACATTTTTTTGGTATGTGTACGTTAAAAAAAATTGAGACACCATTTACTAAAAAAGTGGAGATGCTTTTCTATTGGAAGCTCCTTCAAATGCGTTTATTTTATATACCAAGGCTGAAACATAGCTTAAATATTTATTAAATCAAGGAATGCTGATTATCCAAGATTTTCCACAAGACATTATGTTCCTACTGACTCAGATTTGAAGACCTGTAAATAAAACCATGATGCAATTAGAAAGAATAATCTTCAGGAAATCACAGGGATGGAAAAAAAATGAATAGAAGAAAGCATACTAGTATACTTAAGAAAGAAAATACACCTTCTGAAACTTCACTGTTATGAAATTTGATCTGTAGAAAAGAAACAAAATTATCAGTGAGAAAATTCTCCTTCCCTTTTTTTGGAAGGCGGTGGGGTGGGAAATATCAACCTAGAAATTTGATTCCCAAATAGCTGTATGACCTCAGGTAAGTTACTTAGCCTTCTTAAGCTTCAACTGCTTCATCTAAAAAAACTGAAGCTATTAATACCTAATAGGTTCTTGTAAGATTCATAAAGGTGCTTGGTAAATTGTAGAGCATTATTAATAAGAATACATCAACATGGCAGTTAGGCATACCTGCATCCCCAAACATCAGCAAGGCAGCAGCAATTGCCCCGTCCATAGTGCTCGTTGATTCAATCAACTAACAGAAGGAGAAAAGATTAGTGTTTTAAAAATAACACTTTAAAAGTTATTTCAGTTATTGATATATTCAAGAAGATATATACTAAATATATACGAGGTGGGAAAGTGTGTCTATGATAGTTAAAGTTCATTACATCCTATGATAGTTTTTCAGAAAATCTGGTTTA